TAGTTAGTAGTTAGTTAGTTAGTTAGTTAGTTAGTTAGTTAGTTAGTTAGTTAGTTAGTAGTTAGTTAGTTAGTTAGTTAGTAGTTAGTTAGTTAGTTAGTTAGTTAGTTAGTTAGTTAGTTAGTTAGTTAGTAGTTAGTAGTTAGTTAGTTAGTTAGTTAGTTAGTTAGTTAGTTAGTTAGTTAGTAGTTAGTTAGTTAGTTAGTTAGTTAGTTAGTTAGTAGTTAGTTAGTTAGTTAGTTAGTTAGTTAGTTAGTTAGTATAATGTATGTTACGCGAGAAGAAATTGACCAACATCAGGCCCACTGCTTCGCCAGTGTATCTGGTGCGAATCGAACCCACAACTTCCGATATGACAGATTGCAACCTGTCGGAGGCAGATATAACATAAATAACTTTAAGTTTTTATAAAATATCATCTTGGTTTAAAATCTAACTTTAAATATTTGGTTTAATTTGCTGCTCTACAGTAATAACACTCATATCAGTGTCATATTTTCTCTTATTTACTTTTAACATTTTCTTAATATTTTTTCTTAATTTTAGTTTAATAAGACTTTTTAATAAAACAAGAAAGAAAAAACAAAATCGTATCAAGCACTTCAATATGTGACTGACAATAAGAAATTAAAACAAAACCGCACTTTCAAAATGTAAAAATAAAATGATTTGAAATTATATAAAAAAAAACACTTGCGCACAATTTATGAATGATTTCAACAAAAAGAACTCAATAAATCAATGTTTCAACACCAAGTGCAACAACTAGAACAACACCGAACAAAATAAGCTTAAATATAAAAAAACAACAATATTCTAATTTATGTCTATTTTAGATGTATTAAAAAGCTGGAATGAATGTATGTGTCACCATTTGTCACACTAAAAACAAACTCCAATAACAATAAACCCAAACCCTTTTGAAAAACATTAACCAAATAACTCAAACCCCCCAACTCCCAACTAAACAGCACCATTTTGTTTTTGAATATAAAAAATAAAAAATCCTACAACTAATAACAACAACAGCACCTGCAACATTTATTTATAATTACTACAGCTTTATTACTAACAACTCAACAACACTACCCGTTCCCGTAACCCAGCTTCAATACACTTGTAAATTCCCAGCAACTTTTCTTATCTACCTGCAACAATTTTTAGTTTTGTGTGTGTTTATTTTTGATTTCGTTCAACACATTTTTTATAAAACGGCCGCACAATTGCACACAATTATTACCATAGACACCCACAACGCTATTACTACCGTATGGAGCGTGGCACCGGCGGTGGTCAACAGCAGCACCAACAACAACAACCGCCACACCATCAGCCGCAACATCATCAACAACAACAGCCACCGTACTATCAACATACACATCATACGTTTATGACCAGCTCCGAAGAGCATCCGACGAGCAAGTCTTCGTTTGATAATCCCGCCACCAAGAAGAAGCCACCCAAACTGAAAGCCATCAATCGTTCGCTCTCCATGGCCATTGATAACTATGAGGGAGCCGTGGGTGGCGGTTTGGGAATGGGCGGTTTGGATGATGCCTCGTTGATAGTGGAGCCAGCGATAATACATCGCTCGGCCTCGCCGGTTGCCATACGCTCTGCACCGCCACCTCAGACCTTAGCACTACCGTCAACGTTGCACCCGCACGCGTCTGGCAGTGGCGGTGGTGGTGGTGGTAGTGGCGCTGTGTCACCAGCTTTATCTGCACGTCAGTTTCAACAGCAACAGCACCTACACTCTTTTCAACATATGGCTGCTCAAGCACGTCAATTTAGCCAACAGCAATCGCATGCTAGTAGCACCAGTTCGCCCATCTCGCACACGGTTAGTCCCGTTCTGGGGAGTGGCAGTCGCAGCGAAAGGGATTCATATCATCACCACCAGCAGCAGCAGCAACAACAACAGCTGCATCAACCGGATATTTTTCTGGTCAGCAGTAGTAGTCTGGCCGATAATGTTACCGGCTCGACGCGTGGTGTAGGCGGCTCTTCCTCGCCTATACAATTCATAGATGACTATATGCTGCCGCCGACGACTCATCGTCAACTGCTGCAGCAACAACAACAACAACATGCTGCCACTCACCCCTTTAAGAAATCACAATTTCGTCGTTCCGACACAATTGATGTACATCCGGCTTCTACTTTTCAGATGAAGAAAACGCACTCGTTTCATGCGCCTCCCGATGCTGAGACCATAATGGATCCTCTCTTACTAAGCGCTCAGCCTACATCGGCTTCTTCCTCTAGACGCACTAGTTCGGTGAGAGGAAACTTTCTTATGCCGGGTCATGCCTCTGCCAAAGACATTAGCCGTTCGCCTTCGCCCAGTAGGCGTGGAGCACGCTCACATCGTTCTCTGCACGATCCCTCACGACGACCCAGCGCTAAACCTGAATCGGTGGTTGACTCACAAATACGCCACCCTTCTTTGAATGATGATCTTATGGAACCTTTAGACGGTAGATCGAATCTCTTGGCTCCCACGAATTTATCTCTAGAAAATGAATTGTTTATAGAATCAAGATCACGCAGTAATAGTCACACGAAAATGGAAGATGTGGGACTAACGGAGAGGGGCACCATCAGAAAAACCTCCAGTTCTTTTGAAGATGCCACCTTGGGCTTGGCTACTCATGCTGCGGCACCTACCACCAGTAGTTTGAAAAAACGGGGAGACCATCATGGGCACTCCTCGAGACAACATAGTTCCCATAGTTTAGAATTAGATGGGCGACCCTCTACATCAGCGGCCGCTGCAGCAGCTGCTGCTGCCACACACTCTTCTCTGCATTTACACACGGCTGCGGCGGCTGCCACGGCGGCATATCATTTTAAGCGTGGCACCAAACACGGCCGTTCTCTCTATCTCTCACCCAACAATTTGGAAGAAGTGCAGGTGCATCATCGCCCGGCCGTTATGGCGGCGGCCGCTGCTTTCGGCGGCACCAATGCCAGTGCGGCGAGCATAAAACAGGCCAAAGCTCTGCACAGTGCCAGCATGCGCCTGCGTACCTATCGCGAAACCTTAAGTGCGACGAAAAAATCAAAAAGTTTCATCGGTGACAGTGCGTACCCACCTCCGGTAAGTGTGCCCAATGAATTTGTGGAGCTTACCTCACCCCACCGACGCAACAGTGGCCGTGCTCTGGCCAGTTCGACTACCTCAGGCGGAGCTGCCACCATCGAGGACATCAAACGTAGTCCACGTCCCGTCTCGTTAAGCGCCACCGCCATGGCTGTGGCAGCCACCACCGCTTTCATGGAAGACAAAGAAAAACGTCCATCATTCGAACGTAAACCATCGCTCACCTACGAACTGAGTGACGCTGCCTTCGAGCAGGTTCTGCGGCCATTTCATCACAAAGCCACCACTGGCCTGGGAACACGTAAATCCTCTCTAGCTGTTACTCATAAAGCTCTAAAAAAGAAATCTCTTTCAGATGAAACCGACGACGACGAGGAGGCCGATCGCAAGCGTAAACGCATTGTTTGTATTGTCATGACGGTATTCCTGTGTCTCGTGTGTGCCGCTGTCTTTGTGGTCATTATGACGCTGACACACTCATCCGGCCAGTCACATACACACAGTCATCATCATCATTTGACGACAAAGAAGACTTTTACGTATAATCGTGATGTGCCTGTACACTACAATGGTAAATGATGCATCAGAGATATGTTATTTTACAATACTTGTTGTTATTGTTTAAGTTGTTGCTTTCGTTTATTGTTTTATCATTTTTCATGTTTTGTTGTTTTTTTCTTCAACAATGTCGCAAATAAGCATTTATTTCCTGTTGTCAAAAGGATGATAATTGTTTGTGACAGGAAGATGTGGTTGCAATGCTAAACGAGTTTGCTGTGTTTGTGTGTGTATGTGTGTCTGTATCAGTCAGTAAATTACATGTTTTATTGATGAGGTAAAATAGTGTAATTGATATGCATAAAGGCAGATAGATAAGGAAAACAGAATTATTTATTTACACTTTGTTTTTCGTGTTCGATGTAAAATATTTCAATATTTGTGCAAATATTTTTTTTATAAAAAAATTTTACTTAATGTTTACAAGAAATTTAAAATTAAAGAAAATTTTTTCATATTTTCTATAAAAATTCATGGATTTACCAATTTTTTTATGTTAATAGTTTACATTATGTAAATAAAGAAAGTGACCAGTTTTTCATTAATTTACTTTGTAGTTTACATTATTCTCTTGTTTTTACAATTTTTTTAAAGCTGTATACATTGTTGACATGAGTGTAAACAATGTATATTTTGTTAAAAATTTAAATAACTAATGATAATGCAATAAATATGAAGTTTTTTTTGTAATTTTCTAGAATTTTACACATTGTTTACATTATGTAAAGACTTCTTATAATTCTATACATTATTTACATAAGTGTAATCGTGTCATATTTTGTAAAATATTTAAACTATTTATGATATTGCCATAATTTTGTAATTTTCTTGAATTTTACACCATGTAAACAATGTATACAGATGTAAACAATTGTAATTTACACATTTTAAAGATAAATTTAAAGAAATTATTATTTAAAAATATTGATTTTATACAAATTTATAATTTTTACATTATTTACATTACATTTCTAACATAATTTTAATTATTTACATCATGTAAACAATGTATACTGGTGTAAATAATACCAATTTACATATTTTAAAGATAAATTTTAAGACATTTTTAATTAAAATTCATTATTTTATACAAATTTATAATTTTTACATATTTTACATTATGTAAAGAATTCCAAATATAACATAAGTTTACACAATTTCTATCAAATTATTATTTTTATGTTAACACTAAATTAATTTTAATTATTTACATCATGTAAACAATGTATACAGATGTAAACAATTGTAAGTTACACATTTTAAAGATAAATTTCAAAAATTATTGATGTTATATATTGATGTTATTTTTACATTTTTTACATTACATTTTTACATTATTTACCTAATGTTTACATATTTTACATTATGTCAAGAATTCAAAATTTAACTTTAATAACCTTCAAATCAATCAATTTTTTATTTTAATGTTAAAAGTAACTTAATTTTAATTATTTACATCGTGTAAACAATAACAATTTACACGTTTTAAAGTTAAAATTTAAAGAAATTATTAATTTAAATTCTTTATTTTACCGAAATGCATAATTTTTACATTATACACATAAAATTTTCTTGATTTTTACCCGTTAATTACATTTTCTACATGGTGTAAACAATAGAAAATTTAACTAAAAACACTATAGAATTAATAAAATTAATAGTTTATTGCTAAAAGTGACTTCATTACAATTATTTACATCGTGTAAACAATGTATAAAGTTGTACAGAAGAGTAATTTCCACATTTTAAAATAAAATTTAAAGAAATTATTAATTAAACATCTTTATTTTACCGAAATGTATAATTTTTACATTATTTACATGAATGTAAATAATAAACATTAATGTAAATTTTGAACATTTGTACAATTTTGAAAAGTTGAGTTATTACCATTTTTCTTAATTTTTACACATTGTTTACATATTTTACCTTGGGTAAACAATAGTAAATTTACTTAGTTAAATGTTTTTAAATAGTTAATTTACATTTTCTACACTATGTAAATAATGCAATATATGAGTAAACAATAGTAATTTTAAAATTTCGAGACAAAATTTCATTAATTTTCTCAATTTCAACAAAATTTTTGATTATTTACATTATTTTGATTATTTACATTATTTAAACAATGTATAATAATGTCAATTTTAAATATCTTTACAATTTTTAAAATTTGTTGCAAAATATTACCAATTTTCTCAATTTTTACACATTGTTTACATATTTTACATTGTGTAAACAATAGTAAATTTACTTGAAAAATGCAAAAACTTAATCAATTTGTTAGTTAAAAGTTCTTAAATAGTTAATATTTATTTTTTACAGAATGTAAATAATGTAATGTATGGGTAAACAGTAGTAATTTGAAGATTTCGAGACAAAATTTCATTAATTTTTTTAATTTCAACAAAATTTTTTATTGTTTACATTATTTACCTCAATGTAAACAATGTATATTAATGTAAATTTTAAATATTTTTACAATTTTGAAAAGTTGTTGCAAAATATTACCAATTTTCTCAATTTTTACACATTGTTTACATATTTTACCTTGTGTAAACAATAGTAAATTTACTTGTAAAATGCAAAAAATCAAAAAAATTTTTAGTTAAATGTTGTTAAATAGTAAATTTTAATTATTTACACTAGGTAAATAATGTGATATATGAGTAAACAATAGTAATTTTAAGATTTCGAGACAAAATTTCATTATTTTTTTTAATTTCAACAAAATTTTTGATTGTTTACATTATTTACATCAATGTAAACAATGTATATTAATGTAAATTTTAAATATTTTTACAATTTTGAAAAGTTGCTGTCAAATTTAACCAATTTTCTCAATTTTTACACATTGTTTACATTTTTTACCTTGTGTAAACAATAGTAAATTTACTTGAAAAATACAAAAAATCAATAATTTTCTTAGTTAAATGTTGTTAAATTGAAAATTTTAATTGTTTACACTAGGTAAATAGTATAATATATGAGTAAACAATGGTAATTTATAGAATTCAAGCTAAAATTTCATTAAAATTCTTGATTAAAACAAACATATCAATTGTTTACATTATTTATAACAATGTAAACAATGTATACATGATATAAACAATTAAAATAATAAATGAAAACAATAAAAATGTTCGTTTATTTCATAAATTATTTAATTTTGAAATATTTTACTGTAAGTAACTAATGTAAATTATGTCAATAACTTGTCATTTTTATTAAAATTTCTCTTTCAATTTAAGTTTCCTTTTTATTTAAAAAAGTTCCCTCAACTTAAATATGAAATATTCTTAAATATTTAAACCAAAAATTATTTTCACTTCCATTTTTCTTGTCATAAGAAAAGTGTCACAGTTTATTTGCTTCAAAGAACTATGAAAAACACAAACTTTTTTCCAAGTAGCATCTATTAACCAAAAACTCAAAAAAGAAAACACGAAGCAACCATCATCATCTATCTACTCTGGGAACTTTTTCATACAGCCACTTCAAAAACTAAAAATGTCATTTACAAAAAGCGCCACTTCAGCCAAAATGACAAAAAAAATGGGGAAAAATCAAACTGAACAGAGAGCAGAGCAACAAAAATGCTAAAGCAAAACACACACAAAAACTATAGTTGAATTTTAAATATTTACAAAATAGTTTTTTTAAAAAATTCATAGTATTTATTTGATTACGAGTAAAATAAATATTTGCACAAATTTTTTATTTATAGAGAAGCATCGTGAAAATGTTATCAACTATTTTCTCAGTTTATATTTTATATTTCTGACTTGACAAATTTTATTTGTGTAAAATACCAGTTACGTCCGCAGCATTGCAAGCATATTTTCCCTTGAAAGTATAAAATCGTTTTTCATTTTTCATCATCATATTTTTTTTTTTTTTTGGTTGCCCCTATATCAAGATGTATCGGTGAGTTTGTGAAAATGTTGTGTGATTTTTTTTTTGTTTTACGGTCATCAACCACAAAGTGTTTACAGATATAAAGTGTTAGTGCGTGTTCGTATGTTCGTCCTTATTTGAAAACCTAGTGTTCATGTAAATTTTTTCTTGGAAAACGCGTGTGTAATTGCAAACATTATATGTATAGTATGTACATTGGTTATTTGAAGGATTTACAGGACATAATGATGGAAGGTCATATAATCATGATTACCCAGATACATCATTTACACACTAACAACAAATATATACATACATACATACATGACTGCATGTGGTAGAAATTTTTTACATACATCACTACACTTTTGCATACAAATAGAGTATGCACTACACGTATTATGTGTTTGTACATACTTCCACATGTACACAAAATATCATTTACACTGTTTTATACGATTTCCACTTTTGTATATATCCCACTGATATATTAACGACACCAACTAAAGTTCTTGAAACTCAAACGAAACCGACAAATTGTTTCAAAATTAATTAGAAATCTTTATTTTATCAAAATGTAAAATGTCTATAGTCTAGTCTATAGTCTAGTCTATAGTCTAGTCTATAGTCTAGTCTATAGTCCTAGTCTATAGTCTAGTCTATAGTCTAGTCTATAGTCTAGTCTATAGTCTAGTCTATAGTCTAGTCTATAGTCTAGTCTATAGTCTAGTCTATAGTCTAGTCTATAGTCTAGTCTATAGTCTAGTCTATAGTCTAGTCTATAGTCTAGTCTATAGTCTAGTCTATAGTCTAGTCTATAGTCTAGTCTATAGTCTAGTCTATAGTCTAGTCTATAGTCTAGTCTATAGTCTAGTCTATAGTCTAGTCTATAGTCTAGTCTATAGTCTAGTCTATAGTCTAGTCTATAGTCTAGTCTATAGTCTAGTCTATAGTCTAGTCTATAGTCTAGTCTATAGTCTAGTCTATAGTCTAGTCTATAGTCTAGTCTATAGTCTAGTCTATAGTCTAGTCTATAGTCTAGTCTATAGTCTAGTCTATAGTCTAGTCTATAGTCTAGTCTATAGTCTAGTCTATAGTCTAGTCTATAGTCTAGTC